GAACATGCCTTTCATGTCTGTGACTGTCATAGTAACCCTTCAATAGGAAAATTCTAATCAAAGACAGCTTCATAAAGTACTTCTTTGCCAGTTGCTGTTTTTAGATCTTACGAAGGCCTGATTTTAAAGTCGGTGCTACCAAGATGCACACGTGAGGAAGAAAAACAAGTGCTGTTACTTCCAACGTCTCTACAGGCTTTACAGACTCTAATGGGTGCATTAACTCTGCTTACAATTCATTCCTTATAAAGTCCTGATGATGACTTCCCAGAGCTGTTCCCTCTTGTTTAGCATGTTGTTTGTTTATCACTAGTGACAGACCTGCTCGGAATGAACTCTTGAGACCTCTGGGAACAGGATTACTTTGTGCCATACCAAAAGCAAACACACTGGTCCTTACCCTGCTCCATTTGCGGGTCTGGGAGAGGTTCAACTTGTGCCATGCCAGCTTTTAGATAAACATTTTTTTTCTCAGTTTATTCTTTCAAAGTTGAGTCCATATTTTAGTAGAATTATTATTCAGGAGTTTGAGATACCTTAAAGAGAGAGAGAGAGAGAGAGAGAGAGAGAGAGAGAGAGAGAGAGAGAGAGAATCAACCAAAATTAATCTACTTTACATTGGGAAACGTGAACTGCTGCAAATTTTCTGGTACCTACTTTTATCTTAGATTTACATTTTGTTTGTTTGTTTGTTTGTTTGTTTCAGTGCCTAATTTACGATAGGCACTATGCAAGATGTTTTCCATTGTTCTACCATTTAATTCTCACAAAAATTAAATGAAGTAATTACTGTTATCCTTGCATTATCAATAAGGAAACTAAAGTTCCATGAGGTTGATTCAGTTGTCCAAAGTCTCACAACTATAACACGACAGATATCTGATTCATACTCTGAGTTGCTGTCATCAAAGCACACCTTCTGTACGATACTACGGCGACTTTCTAAAGCACTTATTCCTGAAGTAAACCTTTGCTTTTTTTGTTTATTTTTATTGATTTCAGAGAAGAAGGGTGAAAGAGAGAGAGATTGAAACATCAATGACGAGAGAGAATCATTGATCAGCTGCCTCCTGTATGCCCCCCACTGCGGATCGAGCCGCAACCTGGACATGTGCCCTCGATGGAAATTGAAGCCAGGACCCTTCAGTCTGCAGGGTGACGCTCTATCCACTGAGCAAAACCGGCTAGGGCAAACACGGTTGTTTTTACTCCTAGATTCACCTCATTCAAAGCCTGCTTTTGTAACCACTTTCTCCTAAAGCATTTCTCTATCCCACTGGCACTACTTATCAAACCCCAGGGTTATTTCTCAAGATTTAATCTAGACATTACATATTTTGTCAATAAAATTGCAGAATTTAGACATATATTATTTTCAACTG